CAAATGTTAGTATGTCACAAGTATGTATGCTGAGAGCTTGAATTAGTCTCTCTCAATTGAAACAGAATACTTGCTTGAGTTCTCTGTTACAAAGAGAAGTGGGTTACATAAGGTGATCGTTTACTCATTTGGCTGCATTATTAAATAGAGAAGTAAGTTGCTAAAGATAAGAGAGAAATGAGTTGCTGGATGTTCCTATCAACTTAGTTAACACAATGTCAAAGGGGTTTAATTTAGAAAACAACAATACTATCTGAGGACATTGAGAACGCAGAAGGGGTAGGCGCTCTTTGGACCTCAAGACAGGCTAAAATGAAGTAATAACTATAGAAATTCTGTTCTTTTCCATGTTCTTTTCATTTTTTTTTTGAGACAGGGTCTCACTATGTAGCTATCATTGGCCTCCAATTTTTTAATTCCCAAGTTCTGGAATTAAAGGTGTGTGCCACCATGCCAAGCTCACTTTCTTACTTTAAGTCCTAGGCTTATCAGGCTCTTAGGGTCAGGCATATATTTTAATTTCCACTTATTTTCTCCTCTCTTCATACTTCAAGGTTTTTAAAGGGTTAGGAACAGTCCAGGGCTGGTGGCATATGCCTGTAACCTCAGCACTCAGAAAGCTGAGGCTGCGGAACATGGATTTGCGGGCGGCCGGACTAAAATATAAATTCAAGACCATCTTGGGTTACAGAATAAGAGTCTATCTCAAAACAAATTAACAAACCACAAAGCCTACAAATATATCCCCTATTCCATCAAAGTCTAAGACCATACTTGTCTGTACATTATAACATCCAGCAAGACCTAGCACACTGTGTATAGACAATATCTATGTGTTGAATGAATTTAATCTATACTGTCAGTTATTTCAATTATTAGCTAAATGGGCTGAATACTGTAATAGAAAATTAGTTCTTAAATCTTGTTCCTGTCACTTAGAATCTGCGGGATTTAGGGAAGTTTATTTACTGGGATTGTTTGTATTCCTGTATTGGATAAGTAAAATACTTTTTGCAATTATTGTAAGGAAAATTATATGAAACAGTTTTGCTGTATTTGTAGTACATAGGAGGCCTTTAAAAAATTGTTGATCTTTCCTCCTGGACCCTAGGACTTTCTCCAACATATTTTTTTAGTTAAGTGAGCTTAGGAAGTAGCATATGCTATTCACATTGTTTCCTTCTGTTTGGAGACTGTTCATTTGTAAAGCAAACATGCCTCCAAGTTGGTGACTGAAATAGAGAATTGATCAGTTCACTTAGAACTGATGGGTTCCCTGTTAGAACAGAATACAACATCTAAATTAGTGCCTGACACACAGTAAATGTTCAGTACATACTTTTTGAAAGAGCAAATTAACAAAATACTGAGTAAGGATGATGCCACAGACAAATAATTATAGGATGGATATGATATATTTGTGAAAAAGTGGGTATCAAAGGAAAGATTTGCAGTGATGGTCTATTTAAATATGTTGTGTTTTCATTCATCTATCCAACCATCATTATGCTGTAAGTTTGATCACACCAGATGTTAACAGTGGCTTGAGGATTTGCATTTGTCACTTTTCTCATCACTATGATGAAACACCTGAACAAAGCAACTCAAGAAAGGACTGTTGTTCCTAGTCTCAGGGAACTTCTGCCTGCTGTAGGTGGTGGGAAAGTGTGTGGGGGTAGCATTGTGGTCGTGGTAGCCTGTGGCAGAGCTCCTAACATGAATGATCAACCAGAGAGCAAATACAGGACCAGAAGTGGTAGGTCAGGCTGTACCATCAAAGGCCTGGCTTCTAGCGCCTATCTCTACCAAGGAGGCCCTACAACCCCCCAAAACAGTGCTATAAGCTGAGGACCAGGTGCTTATTTTTAAATTTTTATTATTTAAAAAATTATTTGTAGGCATCTGTGACCTCTCGGTGTGTAGATGCATGTGTCTACAGAGGTGAGAACAGGGCACTGGATCCCCTGGAACTGGAGTTTGAGATGGCTATGATTCAACCAACATGGCTGCTGGGAACTGAACTCTGTTTCTCTTCAAGAATAGAAAGTGGCCTTAACACTGAGTCCCTTCTCCAGACCCAGGGTCAGGTATTTAAATGAAACACATGATCCTGTAGGGGACAGTCCAGATTCAAACCATAAAGTCTCTCTCTTCCCATGTTAGTGCAGTGCAGTAATTAAGGAACCAAGTACAGAATACTACCAATAGCAAAAGGAGAGTCTTGCCCATTAGGCTGTAAAGCAAATTGTATTCCTAAGTATAGTAGGCAGCATACATGTAGGGGAATGGAAATAGATGAGGCTCAATAAGCAGTTAGGTCTGGGGTAGATCATAAAGAGTCTTGTTTCCATGGCTCAGAGACCTGATTCTTCTAGGATAGCGACAGTGGAATTTGTTTTACTTTTTATTGCTATAGCAGAATACTACAGACTGGGTAATTTTGTTTGTTTGTTTGCTGTGTTTTTTGAGATACAGTTTCTCTGTATAGCCCTGGCTATCCTGGAACTGGCTCTGTAGATGAGGCTGGTCCCAAACTCACAGAGATCTACCTGCCTCTGCCTTCCCTGTGCTGGGATTAAGGGCACTAGCAAGACTGGGTGATTTCCAATAAACATACATTGATTAGTTCTGGAAGCTGGGAGGTCCAAAATCAAGAGTTTGATTATTCTAGGGCACAAGGCAAAGAGAAAGTGGGAGAGAGGGAAGAACTAGAACTTCAAGCCTTTTATAACTAACATCAATCCATTTATGATTTAAATACCTCCCATTAGGCTACTCTTAACACTGTTGAGGATTGTCCCAACACATTTATTGGTGGTATGGGGGTAGGGGATGATTGGACACATTTTAGAGACACAATCTACATAGAATTTCTAGACAATTTTAGTGCAAAGACAAATAATTCCATTACACGTACAGAAACTGTCAACTGGAGGGTTAAACAATGATAGGGAAATTAGCTAAAAATTTACTAGACTAGTTTGAGAATAAAAGAGATTATAACAGATTAAAATTGCACTCACACATACATGTGCATCAGCATGTGAACATGCATACATACCATGTGCAAATGCAAAATTACAAAAAACCCCCAAACAAACAAACAAACAAAAAACCCCGGTCATTTCACTGCCTGATAAACACGGGACACCAAACTACAGATGGACTGCAGATGCAACAAAGGGAGTTTTACAGTTTTGTGAAATTTCAAGCTGGTTTGCTGAGAATGAAACCTGCAGGCTTAAGAACTGTGAGTTCTTGGCAAAAACATTAGTTTTTCAGAACTCAGAATTTCAACCAGCCATAATGATGGTGTGTGTGTGTGTGTGTGTGTGTGTGTGTGTGTGTGTAATAGGGAATGGAAAGAGACCACGGAATTCCTGATACCACACTACCACACATACAATTTCAAACATCTATTAGATTTTCATCTTTTGAGAGTCAACAGATTTAAGCACAGTATTCTAGATTTGGTTGGCAGATGGTGTACACAGATTTTGAGTACGCTAGCATTTCATTTGAAACTAGCTAACTTAATATTGACAGAGAATTAAAAAAATTTTTATCCCTAACCCTGAGTTAAATGTAGAGCATTAATAACATTTTAAAAAGGCTTTGTTAATAGATCGTCTGGATTTCATAGATCGGAGTCCCAGGATGTAATACTGTTCTAAAATGCCTATCGGGCAGTGTCAATATCTTTCCATGGAAATCTGGCTCACACAAGAGGAGAAAAGAGGCCAAAGGGAAGAAAGACTAAACCAGGGGAGATCGCAGGTACTGATGTCTGACTCTCTGAATGGGACTTCTCCATTTCCCGACCAGTCTCACTTCCTTCTATGGTGTGGACCTTTAATCTCCCTAGTTGTCAGCCTTGTAGGGTCAAGTTAATCACTGTTGACATCATCCTACTACTTCCCTTTTCAAATTCCACAGAAGCTATGTGTTTCCTGTCGTATTTGACACGGTAGAAAATGAATACCGGGCTGCTTTATAGCTAAACTTAGAATGGCAGTAACGTGGCGAGTTTTAGTAGACGAGATAAACAAAACTAGGTGACATTTCCGACACTCTCAAGGAAAACGAGGGGGTGCAAAAAGGCCTTTCTGACTTTAGAAGCAAAAAAACAAAACGATGTGTGTGTGTGTGTGTGTGTGTGTGTGTGTGATAGTTCCGCGGTCAAGAGGCCTACTCAGAAAAGAGACTGGCTGGAACCTTCTCCTTTAAGGCAGCAGGAAGGCCACCGGGTCGTCGCCAGACTGAGCGAGGAGAAGCCCCGGAGCCCAGACACCTCCATCTCGTGGGGGAGAAGCTGCGCACGGGCAGCTGCCTCACCTCTTTGTCAAGCCGACGGCCTCAGCCTCAGCCACTAGGAAGTGTCCTCGCCTCGGCGAGAGAGAGGGGCGCAGCGGGCCGCCCCTCCCCCCGCCCCTATGACACGCGGGCCCTGCCTCGGGCGACCTGTTGGCAGGGCGCACCACGTGACGCGGCGGGCCGCGCTGTCCCCCGCGGGCGGGCCTCCTGTTGCGCCCGCCGGGCGGGTTCCACCACGTAGCGCGCGGGCGCCGCCCCGCTCTTCCCTCGCCGGAGCGAGGGAGGGGGGCGCGCCGGAGAGGAAAGGGAAGGGAAGAGGGGCGGGAGGAAGGGAGCAGGGGGCGGAACCCGAGTCACGTGACGCAGGGGCAGCCCGGAAAGCTCCGAGGAGGAGCCTGGCGCCGCCATTTTCCTGCAGCTGCCTGTCCCTCTTGCCCGACCCGGCTCCAGCTGACCAGGGAAGGGGTGGGCTGAGGCTGAGGCGCGGGGCCCGGGAGCGCCCTGACTTGGTGTGGGAGCCCGCGGGGGGCACACGAGCCGGGGCTCTCCGGGCGGGTGGCGGCGCGCGGCCCTGAGCCCCGCCCCAGGCCGGCAGGCGGGCCCGGAGCCGGTGGGGGTAGGGGGTGCGGTGGGGGTGGGGACCCTCGGGTGCTTGGGGCTCCCAGGCCCCGCCGGCTGCCGAGCGGAAGGGGTGGCGGACGAGCCGCAGAGATGTCTGGCCAGAGCCTGACGGACCGAATCACCGCGGCCCAGCACAGTGTCACTGGCTCCGCGGTATCCAAGACAGTATGCAAGGCCACGACCCACGAGATCATGGGCCCCAAGAAAAAGCACCTGGACTGTGAGTGAAGCCCCCCCCGCACCCCCTCCTGCCCCCTCTCCATCCTTTTCCTCTCCCTCTCGAGCCGCCGTTTACCTCGCTGCGTCTGATCTGCACCGTGGCTCCTGTTCCTCGTCGAGCTGGGTTCTTTTTTTTTCTGCTTCCATCACACCTGCCTTTAACGGCCTCAGCTCTCTTCTCAAAAGAGAAAGCAATGTGACAAGCCATCCCCCCGCCTCCCCCGAGATCCCCGGAGACCCTCCCTCCCGGCTCCAGGCATCACCGTGCCCCATAGCGCTCCACCAACTTGCCTCCCACCCAGTCCCTCGCCCGAACTGCTTTCCCAGCTTCTGCAGCCTTTGCCCTTCCCATACCTCCCATACCTCCTCTCCGCCCTCGGCTCAGTGTCTCACCGCTAGCTCCGGGACTCACCGCCCCATTGTTTCCCCCCGTTAGCGTTTTTTTCGGGGTTCCGTGCTAAATTGGCTTGGTGGGCCCAGATTCCTGTCAAACTTCGCATCCCTTGAAGTGGTTCCCACATCTTCGATTTTCCTCCCATCCCTTTTGGGTTTCCTTTCCTACTTTTCTATCTACCTTTTGAGTTATCTTTGCCTCTGTAGCTTCCATTAAGTTCCTTTGACTTTTTGTCACCCCCTTCCTTCAGTATTATACCAGGTACTCGGCTTTTATTCCATTTACATTTGTGGGGAGTCGAAACAAAGGGATTCGGTGTGGTGTGGGAAAAGCTTTGTGGGAAGTTACTATTTTTATTTACCATCAGTATACTGTCTTGAGTTTTAAAGTTGGGTGAGTTGTACACGTCCCATCTTTCCCTTTTTTAATTCATATGGGGGTATGGAAAAGGGCTTTACTGGTTTTGGTATCGGTTCCTGAACTGTTAACATTGGCGGTTTGAATTTGGAAGCTTGAGTGTTAAGTGTTGGGATTCGAAATAGATTAATAAATTTAGGTACAAATAATCAGATTCGGAAACGTTTTGATTTATGTTGGTTGTATTTTGGATAACTGCTTGCTTAAGCCGCATAGTATTACTCCAGCACTAACTTAGGGACAGTTAATAGAGCAAACTCCTCCCAATTGTTTTCTAACCCGGGAGCCACCTGTAAAACCACCTCCTTTTTCTTGTTGCTCCTTTGCCTCCGGGTACAAAGCTCAGTGGATTGCTCTATCCTCGAGTAAGTAGAATGTTTCTGGGGGAAAAATAGAGATATAGTCAATGATAGTAAATTCTCTTTTTAAATGACTCCCGGACACATTAGCTAAACCGACTTTCATCATACTTGAAAGTTGCTTTGCCCTGTGAAGCAAGAGTGAGCTTGTCCTGAAAGGGAATTCACTGTAAGGAATCTTGTTTCTCATTTGGACTTTGACTGTGAGGTTTGCACTTAAAAAAACAAAACAAAACACAGAGTGTGAATTCTTCTAAGATACATTGCCCACGAAGTGCTGTTAGGACAAGTTATTGCCACAGACAAACCCATTATTCATTGTGATTTGTTCCCTAGCTGTGGAAATGTTTTATAAAACTCTTCTTCTTGGTTGGCTGTTGTACAGGCTGCTGGTTAACTCTCTTTCCCTGTTTAGAGAGTGGATTTAAATGGTGACACTTGTATAAACATTCTTTAGGATAGTGTGAATAGATCGTAAATGTGTTTTGAAAGTATATAATAAATGGAGTAGACGTTTCTGTTTTCATCCTTTGGAAAGACTACCCACAGAATCATTTCTTCCTTCTCCTTCCAGTTCCAAGATTGCTGTGTAGCCCAAGCTGGCCTTGAACTTGAGAACATCCTTCTGCCTCAGCTCTCCTGGCCTATGCTACAAAGCAGGGTTCTGTGATACAAAATGCTACTGTTTGTTTCAATACTGTGTAGTGGTTTTTCATTCGTTTTTGTTTCTTAGTGTAGAGGGCCAGAAGATACTTGGGGTATGTGAAGTGTTGTTTTTTTTTAAACTCAAAATGATAAATTAGAAAAACAGACAGCATTGAAACATTATTTATAAAGGATGCATCTTTGGCTGCAGCAATAATTCTAAAGTGTTGCTAGAATGGCTAGAAGACAGGTTTTTTGAGGCTAGAAGCAAAGGTTGTGGTTTTATTAACTTAGTGAGTGACCTTTTGTAATAGTCACTACTATAGATTGGAACTAGTTGGTCTTTAAGGATAACCTTACATCTGTATTTTTTCTCTACTACAATATCTTTAGAGCTTGAATATACTTGCCTATGTTGTAATACTATTATATTAATAATAAGGTGCCTCTGTGCCTTTTATTGTGAAGCCGTTTCTCACTAATATTTTAGTAAAATCTCACTAATGCTTGGTTTACAACTCTCTCCTCCCACTTCAACCTGCTTTGAAAAGTTGTTCACAGACAACAGTCAATGCTATGAACTTCAGGCTATATAAAAATATAATAAAAGAAATGCATCATTTCAAGTAACTTTTGCCCCTTTAAAAACTTTTCTTAATTTTGAAAGCTTAGTTCTCTTAAACTTTTTAATGTCCTGAGCTCTGCTTCTTTGAACGGAGTGGAAACAATTTCATTTATAAAATGGTAGCATTTAACAAAAATATGCCCAGTAATTTGCTCTCCCTGTAAATCGTTTACCAGGTGGAGGTGGCTTTTGTGTGCTTCCTTGGCAGTATCTTTCCATATTAGGAATTGATTTTTGTCCATAAATTATGAGTCAATTCATATTACGTTGTATGTTCATTGAAGGTTTTTTTTTTGCTTATAGTTACTAGTGTATAAAAGTGTTTACTAGTGTGAAGAGTCTTTGGACTTGACAAATAAATATGATTTCCGTTTAATTTCAGGCTTCTAATAGCCATTTGTAATCAAGATAGAAGAGCACAACCCTTAAATTTTCAGACACTGCTATCTCCCCATCCAATCTACAACTGTTCAAGTCCTTTGTATGAAGTGCATTGTTTGTATGCAACCTATACTTCCTCCTCTACCTCTTAAATCTTCACATTACTTAAACCTGCTGTGCCGTAAATGCTATGTAAACAGTTGTAGTGTATTGTTCAGAGAATAATGACCAAAAAAAAAAAAGTGGAACCTGTGTAAATAGAAGGCCAACCTTTTTGGTTTTTCAAGACAAGGTTTCTCTGTGTATCCCTGGCTGTCCAGGAACTTGCTCTGTAGACCAGGTTGGCATGGAACTCACAGAAATCCTCCTGCCTCTGCCTCCCAAGCACTTGGTGGGACTAAAGGTATGCGTCACCACTGCCTGGCAAAAGAGAAACTCTTAAGAGAGCTGACATCCATCCATTTTAGCTTTTGTATTTGCAATTACCAAATGAATTCTCAAACATTTTAAAAAAGTGGTTGTATAGGTTTTTTATATCTCTTGTATGTAGGTAATTTTAAAGCGTCTGTTAGTTTAGAGGTGAAAGTGAGATATGGAAAAACACTTCATAGTGAGTTGGCTGATTTCTTATGCATGTTTAGATTGGCCTGGAAATCTATGTAGTCTGGGTTGGCCTTGAACTCAGAATCTGCCTCTGCTTCCTGAGAGATGACCTCCATGATTGCTTGCAAAGCATTTGCATGAAATACATTGATATTTTAAAATGCTCTATTTAAAATTTTTAGTTATTAATAAAATTCTAGTTGTCAGAATTGAATTAATATCCAATAACAGGGATTGAATCTAGGGCCTTACACATACCAGGCAAGTGCTCTACCACTGAGCTATGTGCATAGCCCCTTTCTTATTTTGTCCTTGAGGCAAGGTGGCCTTGGGATTTCTTTATAGCCCCGGCTGACCCTGAACTTGTGAACCTCCTGCTTCAGCTTTCTGTGTATCATGATTATGGGCCTGTGCCACTAGACCCCAGAGTTTTGCTTTTGTTTAAATAAAAGTGTCTACTTTGACTTTGACCATTATTTAGAATATTAAAATGAAAGTTTACCACAATTCATAGAAAGTTACATCTTTATTTTCAAAGTGTTTAATGTTACTGCTTTTTTAAAAATCAGATTGGTAAGAAATAGTATAAAGGTTCCTTGGGAAGAGGTTGGAGTCCTACCTAGAAGAGGTGGCCCTAGACTTTGAAAGTAAAGGTTTAGTATTTGCTCTTCCTGTTCTTTTGGTAGCTTAAGTGGCATTTCCGTTACTTTGTGTTCTGTCTCATTGTGTTCCTAGTTGAAGTGTTTGATGTGTTTTTCTAGAGAATTGGAACTTTGAATATGACCTTTTAGAAGTTCCTATGTTCATTGTGTACATTGTTTTTTTCATGAAGAATTGTTCTATTGATTTTGACTAATGAATTCATTTAAAAAGTTACATTGATAAACCTAAACTTTAGCATTAAAAATTACATTTAGAGTTCTGATTTTTCTGGATTTTGTCATAATGCTGAGGATTTTTCATATATTTGTAGGTAGCTGGTATATAGCTTTTGGGCTTATGCCTAATTTTATTTATTGCTATTATTTTTTAAAATAGGATTCCATGTAGACCAGACTAGCCTCATTATGTAGCTGGTGATAACCTTAAACTCCTGGTCCTCTTGCCTCTACTTCCCAAGTGCTAGGACTATAGGCATGTGACACCATTGATTATAGTTTTTGATGAATATTCTTTTGGGTTTATTGTATGCGGGACACCTTACATTTATTAGCTGGTTCTTTTAAAAACTTCACGTGAGAGGCTTTGTTTCTCTACAAGGTCACATTCAGGAAGAAGTGGACTGGGCCTTGAACTCAAGTCTAGCATTGGAATGTTCTAAGGTTCCAGCAAGATAAGTATTTCTTAGAGCACTATTCAGTTCATAGAAAGGGTCAGAGATTTCCCATATAGTTGTATTCCCACATGTCTATATAGTCAAAAATGTTGACTACACATGGTACATTTGTATAATTGATAAGCCTATTTTATATTTTAATACATCATCACCACCAAGCAGTTCACATTAGGGTTCATGCTTACTTTTGAAATTCTATAGATTTGGACAAATGTATGCATATATCGACTGTTACGTTGTTATGTAGGGTTAATTTGACTGTCCTGAAATACTTTGTGGTTTCTTAAAGCTGTTGAAGCCTCTGATCTTTCACTGCCTCCTTAGCTTTACTTGGTACAGAAAGCTGTGTGATTGGAATCTTGCATGCAATAGATATTCACTTTGGGCTTTCATCTAGTGATACACACTTCAGATGATCCTGTCTT